ATGTTTTTTCCTTCTCTTTGTAACAACTACCAAATAAAATACACTAATAAGGGTCAATTTAATGGTTGTTTTGTTATGTGTTTCAGAATAAGTGCTTCCAAAAGTTTGGCACTCAGTTTTATTTTTGTGGTTCTCATATTTGATTGAGGAATTAAAGATTCTAGTTGTCACTATATTAGCACATGCTAGATATACAGTATTTTTTGCATGGCTATATAACCATTTTGACATTTTTCTTTTATTCTCATTATAGTCTCTACCAAACGGGATTAAAGTAATATGCATTAAAGCACTAAACATTATTAAAGTTTTTTTTTTTTAGAATATTGCTTTTAATCGTTAGGATTAGCCAAAATTTCATTACTAATAATTATTCCTTTATACTACCTTCTATACTGGCTAAGGTCCTACACTAATAAAAGCACAAATCATTGGTATTTTTTTTATGATTAGCTCTTTAAAGGAAACGATATAAAGATTCACGGAAAAAATGAAAGATTTCCAAAAATATTCTCCTCACTTTGAAAAAAAAAAGTTTACCAAAGATACATGATCCTGGAACAACAGCTTTTTTGTGTATATCTGTTCCCCCGTTCCGGCTAAAAACAAACATGTCTTCCTTTCCACTTACGTAAAAAGTTATCATATTTAGATTTAAATAGTAAAAATAAAATGAAATAAAATTAAAAAATTATGTTAACATATTATATTTGTTAATAAAAAAAAATTTTTAGTTTTTTTAATTATCAAATATTTTATTTCGATTTTCTTTCACAATTTACAATAATGTCTAAAACAAATTTATTATTGACATACTATATCTATAATCAATTAATCAATATAAAAATAAATAATTTAAAAGAAGGGAAATTAAAAAAAAATAATTTAAAAAAGATAAGAAAAATTATATTTAGGTAATGGTCGGCTGGGCCAAATGACCCATGTGTGGATATGCACTTGGAATGACAAATTTCCATTGATATTCCTTGTCAAAGGTAGAAGCCTTCTTTTGGATCACCTGTGATTAAACAATTAGGATTATATTTAAATATTCCTTAATTTTTCATGATAGCGACCGTAATAATTTTTACACAAAAAAAATCAGGATTATCCTTATAAAAGAACAAAAGAAATAATTCAATAATTAATTTATTTTTTTTCACACAAACTACTTTGGGAAAAATATTATTAAAATTATATAGAACAAACTATATTCTCCAATTCTTCAACAACAACAAAAAAATTAATTAATTTCTTCACTTTTATTTTCAGGTATGAACGTATAGAAAATGGAATAGATAAAAATTGATTCCTCTCTCTTGACTCGGAAAATTGGAAGGAAGAAGGAAGGAAGGAAGGAAGGAAGGAAGGAAGGAAGGAAGGAAGGAAGGAAGGAAGGAAGGAAGGAAGGAAGGAAGGAAGGAAGGAAGGAAGGAAGGAAGGAAGGAAGGAAGGAAGGAAGGAAGGAAGGAAGGAAGGAAGGAAGGAAGGAAGGAAGGAAGGAAGGAAGGAAGGAAGGAAGGAAGGAAGGAAGGAAGGAAGGAAGGAAGGAAGGAAGGAAGGAAGGAAGGAAGGAAGGAAGAAAGAAAGAAAGAAAGAAAGAAAGAAAGAAAGAAAGAAAGGATAAAAAAAATATTTGTATTTATCCGAAATCGTAACAAAATACAAGATTTCTTTGTTTCATTTCTCCAAATTATTTTAATCAAATCGTACCCTTTTTTATAAAAAATATCCGTGTCCAACCCGAAATTTTTATTTATAAAGGTCGGTTCCAATTTAACAAAATAAATAAATAAAATGTTTACTAAAAAATATACGATTATTTTTAAAAAGAAAAACCGAAAAATTATTTAGCGTTCGAGTCCAGTCCAGACCTGCCGCTTCCTAAAAAATTAGGTCGGTCTAGACCTAATCCGGGGAAACGTTGGTCCAAATAATCTGATAGGATTGTGCAAGTTATAACCCTCAAAATTCCAACCTCGAGCTTAATTTTAACAATTATAAACGAGTTAATTAACCTTTCTGAGACGAGGAAGGGGGGGGGGACCTTCAAAGAATTATTCATTTAAAAAAAAAATTAATCATAAAGTAATAATAAAAAAATTTCAGGATAATTATTAATACAAGGAAATTAGGGTGTATTTTATAATAAATTTTTTATATATAAAATTTGGAATTTTAAATTAATTTATCATATTTTTTTAAAATATATTTAAATATTGATAGAAAGAGAAAGAAAGAAAAAGGTTTTATTTGACAATTTTAACTTTTTAAATTCCTTTATAGGTTAGAATAAATCGGTTATTATAACAGATAAACAATCAATTAAATTTTTAAATTTTAAATCTTCTTTTAAAAAAAAGATTAAAAATATTTATATATTTTTTTAATAACGTATCCTTCGTAAAGATTCGATAAAATATGAATTTTTTAAATGAAAGATAAGGTGAAAAGGAAGAAAAATAATCAGATTAACGTCTAAAATATAAAATCCCTGAATATTTTTGAATGATTGGAAATATAATGTTGATTAATTAATATATAAGATATGATGACCTTTAATTTTTAATTAAAAATTTTTTTTTTTGACTTATCACCTCTGTCAAAATATTAAAAAAAATAAAATGTTTTGAGTTGAGGTATAAGGTTGGACAAAACTCCCTACTATTTTTATTTCATATAAATAATAAGAATTTATTTTCAAAAGATTCATAATATTTTTTTCTTTCTTTCTTTCTTGTACACCTTTTCAATTTGTCTCGTGTTTTAAAAGAATATTTTTTTTTATATAATTCGATTTAAAAAAAAAAACAATTTAACGATCAAAAAAAAAATTATTTATGGGAACTACGATATTCGGACCCATTCAGGGCAAATTGAACGTTTTCTTTTGTGTCATATGTTTCCTGGTGGTAGTATTCACGTGTTGCTTGGTATTGCCCATGCTCTATGGACAGCTGTCCCAAATTCAGCAGGAACAAACGGAATTGATCAGCATGATGATGTCAAAATTGGCGAAAAAACAAGATGTCATCGACAAGATGCACAAAAAATTGGAGAATATGAGGGTAACATTATATATATATATTTTTTTAATTTTTTCTTATATATATTTAGATACAACTTTTGTATATTTAATTTGAACATTTTTAATATCTTTACCAATTTAACACGTGATAATTTGAAGAAAGAAAAAAAGACATGATATTGTATGTTCGCCAAAGTGTTTTTTTTTCTAGGCAAATATGTTATTTTTTGAACTTTTAAACTTGAGAAATACAAATTTTTCCGGAAATGGGATTGATTTAGCCAGTGCGGCATAAATACACTATGAATTTTCAAACTATTCCGTCATTAAATTTTAGAATTACCTTTTAATTTATGTTAACTTCTATCAATTTATTTTAAATAATATTAAAAAAATGACTCGAAAAGGTTTATGACGAAATGGTTTGAAATTAACGGTGAATATATTATTGGAAATATTAAGATTTTTATGTAAACGTCAATTTGTAGCATGTCAAGCTGACATATCATATGAATTCACAATAATTTCGCACATAATTCAGAATACTTCCTTAATTGTTAAAATGGATTTGCATATATTACTATAATGCTTTCTAAAAATTGAAAAATTTAGGACGAACGATATGCGGCCAAAGTTATGGTTGCTAGACGAAAACTCGAAAAAGTCGTGGACGATATTGAAGGCAAAAAGAAACGCCGAGCGGACGCCCAAAATGTAACACTCGCCGCAGGTCGCAGTAAAAGACACGTATTTACGGACGCGGATACGGGTTTACCCGCTCCTCAACCGGCTGCTCAACCCTTGCCTTTCATCGGAGGAGGAGGAGGTTTAGGTTTTTCAGGGGATGGTAGTGAAGACGGCGAAGGTGTTGGTCGTCGTCGTATAGGTTCTGGCAGTCGAGGGGGAATCTTGACTAGCGGTTTTGGACCCTTACAGCAAAGACGTCAACGGCTGGGTGTCGTCAGGGGAGCCATTGCAGGAGCCTTTGCGGCTAGAAGGGAAGAAGCCGGGCGAGACGATCCCCGATACCGTGAATTGGTCCTTGAGCTTCGGAGAACAGGGGGTGTAACGGAAGTCGGTAAGTACTATTATAATGGTATATTCCTTTCCTTAAAATGCGCTTCGAGGAGTTGCTGAAATATAAATCGGCTGATGAGAAGCCATTTTTTGTTTCCCATATATAAATAGGTATGTATCAATCTTGTGATACTCCTGCCCGATCCCCAACAAATTTTACGTGCCGTGACCCCTTAATAAAAATTATTTGTGGTCCAGCTCGAATTTATATAATTACAGAAAATATTCTAATAGGCCCGACCCAGCTTAAACCGAAATTATTTTTTAAAATAGACCCAGCCCGTCCCAAAACCCGTTTGGGCCGGGTAAGAGCCGGGCCATGATACGCCGATCATATGAGCAAAATCTCCATCATTGCTAAAATCCTAATGGGGCCATTTTATAAAATCGAACAACCACACTAGGGAATAGGATGTTACACGGTCATCAAAGAATTTTTCAGTTGTATCTAAATATCATTAATGATACATTCTTTATAATAAATGTATCGGGATATGTTTTTTTTTGGCATACAATCTTAATTATTACTAAAAAAAAGAAAACATGAAAAAGTGAGCAAAATATAATGTTAAAAAAAGTGGATATCTATTGTTAGAGCTCAAATTTTGTAGTCGATTTAAATTTAAAAAAAAAGAAGTCTGATTTAAAATATAAAAGGTATTATGAAATTTTTTTTTAATTAAATGAAATCAAAATTGTTTGTATCAGCGACTATGGTGATACATATAATAATTACAAACGATGCAAAAAATATCTTATTTTGACGACAATAACCAATAAATACACATTTGATTTCTTTACGATTTAGATTGCGGGTGTCCGGACGGCAAAGATGGGTTACCAGGATTTCAGGGTGCGCCAGGTGCCAAGGGAAGACCGGCATCTTCAGGAACCGATGGTAGACCGGGTGACAAAGCCAGTGACGGTGCTCTGGGAGAGCAAGGTCCAGAGGGTCCAGAGGTATTATTAAAATATAATTGTTCTAATATTAACTATAATGCCAAACTATTTATAGGGACCACCCGGTTCACCAGGTAAGCCAGGAAAAGACGGTAAACCTGGAAAAAGGGGTAGCGCAGGAAAACCAGGTCCTCCAGCCGCGTCTGGCAAGGATGGTCAGCCAGGAACTGATGGACTGCCAGTAAATTGATTTAAAAGATTTTGTTATTCTCAATATTTGAAGAATCGATATATGTATAGTAATTTATATAAAAACAATTCGCATACATTATATTACAAACCTCAATATTATTTCTTTTACAATTTTAGGGTTTACCTGGCAACGATGGTATTCCAGCTGATGAAGGTTCACACGGTACTGAGGGTACACACGGTAACGATCTATTAGATGGAGCCCCGGGTAAACCGGGTAATGCCGGAGCCCCAGGAGCCAAAGGAACTCCGGGGCCGAAAGGAGCCGCTGGTCAAGCTGGTCCAGCGGGTAACGATGGTTTGCCAGGATCCGATGGCGCACCAGGTCAACCCGGAGCCGATGGAAACCCCGGAACCAGCTTCTCAGCACCTGGTCCTCCAGGCGATGCCGGAGCACCTGGAAGAGATGCCCAACCTGGTCGACCAGGCTCGGATGGTAATAAAGGTAGGGATGCTTTCCCGGGACGAGACGGAAACCCCGGACCCGACGGGAATTCGGGACCTCCCGGACCCCCAGGTTTAGATGGTAAAGCTGGAAGCCCTGGCAAGGACGGTTTCAGAGGGAAAGATGGTGGTGCCGCTAAACCTGGACCTGATGGAAAACCCGGAAACCCAGGACAAAAGGTTTGATATCATTTTATTGCTTCAATTTATAAAAATTGTCGATAAATACATTATTTAAATTGTTACATTTTTCATATTAACAAGCATAATATATCTTTTTAAATATTAGTTTGTTTGTTTTTCTTTCTTTCTTTCTTTCTTTCTTTCTTTCTTTCTTTCTTTCTTTCTTTCTTTCTTTCTTTCTTTCTTTCTTTCTTTCTTTCTTTCTTTCTTTCTTTCTTTCTTTCTTTCTTTCTTTCTTTCTTTCTTTCTTTCTTTCTTTCTTTCTTTCTTTCTTTCGTTCTTTTCTTTCTTTCTTTCTTTCTTTCTTTCTTTCTTTCTTTCTTTCTTTCTTTCTTTCTTTCTTTCTTTCTCTTCTCTTTCTTTCTTTCTTTAAAAAAGCTTTAAAGAAAGCTAGTAAATTAATATATATATTTTTTATAAGCTTTCCCACTTGTTGGATAGAAATTTTATTAATTATATGGTCATCTTGTAGGTGTCATATCGCGGGGCATGAAGGAATTTAGAAAGGATTATAAATGATTTATATAGCACATTTTTTAGAATTTTAAAGATTTGATGAATTCTTTATCTCCTTAGCAACATATTACAATATATAACCAATCAAAAAAGACACGTGATCGCATTTTATTTCATTAAATTTTGAAATTTTTTTAAAAAATCTTATAATTCAATCCCGAAGAGTGGTTAAAGTTTCAAAATGTATCGATATTGATATAAATACATTTTAAACGTAACATTTATTAATGGCCTCCAATTCTAACGTAGCAATAAATTATAATAATTATTTTTAAAAAAGGGATTTCCTGGATTACCCGGTCTTGATGGATCAAATGGAAATTCTGGTAATCCCGGTCAAGACGGACAACCTGGCCGAGATGGTTTCCCGGGGCAAGATGGAAGACCTGGCGAGGACGGACAACGAGTAATTTTTTTTTTATAAGATTTGGGAAAATGTCACCAATCACCACATCTTTTAAAACGCTGTGCTCAAATTAAAGAAGTTTGAAAAACTCAGTGATGCTATTAACTCTATAATTTAGTCATTATTAATTAGCAAGTATGAAATGAAAAATGTTACATTCATATTTAAATTTATTGATGATTATGATTATCATTTCTAAATTATACCTTAAAAAGAATGTATGAATTTATAATATTTTTAGTACAAAAAAAAATCTATAATTTCCCTCAATTTATTTTATATTAAACGATAGAAATAAAAAACAGCTGTTCTAAATAATGGAGGCGAAAATAATGCTTTACTAATTAAAACGCAGCGTAAAAGATGTGTTCTTAGGGCGACATAATCTTCGAACCAGAAATTTTAAAACCATAAAAAATATCGTCCAAAATTAAGAATGCCATTTATTTTTTTAACTGACAAAAAGGGCAAGGACGGTGAAGCTGGTCGCAATGGCAAAGACGGTGCCCCAGGAGGAAAGGGAAACGATGCAAAACCCGGTGCTGCGGGTAAACCGGGATTCGATGGAAAACCTGGTGAAGCAGGAAGGCAAGGATCTTCCGGTTTAGCTGGGGAGCCAGGCAGCCCTGGGGCGGACGGCAGACCCGGATCAAAGGGACCAGATGGACCCCAAGGAGGCAAGGGCGAGATAGGAGCTTCAGGTGAGCCTGGCCGAGATGGTAGGTCAGGAAACGAAGGGAGATCAGGTGCCGACGGGCAGATAGGAGGGCCTGGATCAAGGGGTCAACCTGGAACTCCTGGGAATCCCGGAAACGATGGAGAAAAAGGACCAACCGGTGAGGCAGGAAGAGATGGCGAATCCGGTTCACCTGGAAGCAGCGGAAGAGACGGTCCTACTGGGTTACCCGGTTCCCCTGGATCTTGCAAGACCCAGTGCCAAGCAGATGCTCGAATCATGTGTAAGTTTGTTGTTTTGTTTAATATTATTTTTTTATATTTAAGGGAAGCTTACTTGATCCCACTTTCTAATGAAAGTGGTATTAATTAATTTCCTCATTTTTAAAATCGAATATCGTCAAATATCAATAATGCAAAAAAAAAAGCTCTATGTGGCGGTTCTTATTATATTCATTGGGGCAGTAAAACCTGCTCGGACTCTAATACGCGTGCGCAAATTCTTTACACTGGATATATTGCCGGTGGACATTACTCCGACGAATTCCCTGGAGGCGGTCACAATTATTTGTGCATGCCAGAAAATCCTGAACTTAGAGGGTAAAATGAATAATATTTTGCATAGTGATAAAAAATGAAAATGAAACTTAAACCATTTAAACAGATTTATACCCGGATTTTCGGGGCCCGACAACCTACCGCTAGCTGGAATATACGGAGCGGAATATAGAGTGCACAGCAAGTCCAGCCCCTTCTCTACACCCCCCGGAGCTTTGCAGGGACAGCAAGCGGTATGCGCCATATGTTACACTTTCCATATGTGCTCCCATGTCATGATCCCCGGACAAAAGGATTGTCCTAAAAGTACGTAATATATTTATTTTTTTTACCCCCCAAAAAAATTATCAATTAACAATAGAACACTTTTCGATAACTTATAAAATAAACTTGGACGAAAAGGAATTCTATTTCCGGTTCCAACGACTTCTAAAATTATTTAAAAGATTTTGGTTATTTGTCCCCTTGTTTGCGAGGATTCCTAAATTTTTATTTCCGGTTTTGAATTCTAAACAAAAAAATTATTGCAACTATTCATTTTTACCACAGCCATGGTTAAGGAGTACTCCGGGTATCTGATGTCCCTGAGCAATAGATACTCTCGATCGCAGTACATATGCGTAGATCGAACTCCCGAATCTAGCTACGACGGAAGAAAACGAGAGGGTGATCTCAACGGAAGTGCCCTGCACGTCGTTGAAGTCAAATGCGGAGCCCTCCCATGTTCGGCCTATCCGGATGGTCGAGAAATCGCTTGCGTTGTCTGCGGAAAATAAACCGGAAATATACCCAACCATCATTTACAAATTTAAAAAAATATATATATATGTGTAACGATGTATTTGCGATATCTATTATTTTATACTTAATTAATCGAGTATGCTTTTGTTGCTTAATTATTTTCCTGACTCAATCGAAAATAAAATATAATCTTATTATTTTTTCGCGATATTAACAATTATAATAAATAGAAATTACTTAAATATGGATTATGATTTTAAATTATAAAATTGTATTTTTAAAAAAAGAATATAATAAAAGAACCACTCGCATAGCAAACTTGTAGTTTATTTTATTTAAAAGTCGTTCCCGTAAAAAAAAAATGTTTTCAAAATATTATTTTTATCTCTATCGCCTTCCGTGGTTGTCTAAAAAAATAAGAAAAAATTGACCCTTGAATTTGATAAAATATTATATATCAAAAAGGTTTAATAAATGAGACGACAACGAGTTGAGTTAAAATAGTTCGCGCAAAATTGAGCGTTTACGTTTTGCCGTTCCTACGCGCTAGCGTTCCTTACGAAGAAAAATGCTTCTAAATTTTAGATTTTTTGGCCCTGAAACCCTTTACCAAAATCTTAATGTTTAAATTAACTTTCGGAGGAGTGATGTAGTATACTCTTCAAATTATTATAGTGAGAAGTAGTGCTGTTAAGCGGCTCGTTTTGAGCCGATTTCGAAAAACGGCTAACTCAGTATTTCATATAGAATAACATTACGCAAGCCTGAAGATTCTGTTTGTAGAAGGAACATAGGTTTGGACATCTATAAGCGAAATCTCGAGGCTTAGGCAATATTTTTCTGGCTAAAATATCTAGTTAGCCGTTTTTAAAAATAGGCTCAAAACGAGCTGTTTAACAACACTTGTGAGAAGTGATACGCTCCCATCTATTAATTTTGATATTTAAATAAATCATTTAAAGTGTTACATTTACATGGATAAATGATTTGCTCAAAAATTTTGAAGCCAAATTGATCATAAAATGCGTGGAAAAAAATATGAAGGGAATAAAAATATGTAAAATGATTTCCCACTCATAGTGTGTCACCTCCGCTACATTCAGAAAATTAATGAAATCAACTGTCAACTGTCTTGAGTTTATTTTTATAGAGCATGCCACACATCACCAGGTCTGTACTCGCTTCGGGAAATGTTTATGGACGCGGATTTTGAATTAAGGAATGATTTCATAATATTTATGTAAACACCAATAATTTGGAAGCCATGGTTTTGATTTCCCAATTTCTTCTGAAATGGGAGGGGGGGGGGGAGATAAGAATGGGAAAAGGATAAAAATTTTGGAGATTATATTGAATATAATTACCAAAAAAATAGATTCGAACCAATGTCCTAGTTCAAACTCTTCAGCTTGACAGACATCATAAAATATTGTCGGAAATCGGTATATTTGGTTCAATCTAGAATAACCCATTTATTACTAAAAAGAAAAAGGATCCTTGCATTTGCATGATACAGTACAGCGCTTACCACCTAAATGATATTATAGCATAATTTACCGGATGTTGTGCAGATTCAAGTTCCGTGCAAGTTTCTGCCTGCAATTCTACATAGTTGGAAATATGATACCCGCTGTAGCTAGCGAATTTGTCACAATTAAAACTATCGGAAAATGATAAATGTGTTATTAATTCTAAGGTGAATTTTTCTGGGAGCCAAATTTAAGTGCAAGATATTGCCTTTTACACATCTTATTCGTGCGAAATTACCGTAAATGATGGATCACATGTTAACCTTGAAATGGAAGTAGTGATAACATTATCTTGGTGAAAAACTTTAAGAAACTCTCAAATCTATATCGTCTGATTATAAATAAATATTAAAAATATTTTTTTTCCAATGTTCAATAAACTTATTTTTGGAATTATTTCAAAAAATTAATGGTTCCGGGGGCATTATATAATTCCTGATTTTATTTTCTATCTGATGCCCGAAGTTTTCCGAAGAGAAAAATATACCCCACCACTCTCCCTAAGGTAAAAACGTTGAGAAATTCACAATCAATAAAATATAAAATCAACAGATCATGTATTTCCTGTTTATATAATGGCAATGAGTCTACCCCCCCCCCCTCAAATTTTAATGACGTGTTTGTATCCGTACATCTCTCCAGCCTATTAGAGGCTCGCGGGTGAGTTTTTAATACGCGCGTTTACGCTGGCATATTTATTGGGCGGATATCTAATCATCTATCGAGTTAAATCGTTAAATAAGCAGAACATGGTATTATATATTAATTAAAGAATCAATTTATTTATTAAGAACATAATCAAACTAATTTTTTTAAACATTGGGAAGGCAAGTGTGTTAATACAAAATTTTTAGGTTAATGAGTGGGAGGATAAATTTTAGAACAAAGGTATATGCGAGTTGGTTAAAAAAAAACTAAAACAATGGACTGGTTTTCGAGTAAAAAAAAACTCGCTCATTACAGACTAGTGTTGTTAAATTGCCTAAAGTTAGTCAACTATAATACAGCGTAGCTACAAGTTGAGACTCCACTTAAAGGCTTAATTTAGTTATTTTAGGCTAAAAGCTTGACTAAAGCACAGAATAGATGGTCAAAGTTAGGTATTTTATTACAGACCTCTACCGCTAGTGTTAGAGAGCTCAGCTTACATATAATTATGCTAGCGCCTTTCATAATTAAACCAATAATACATTTTAATTTAGTTAGACGGATTGTTAATTTGCTTTCGTCGTAAAATTTACGATCGAATTCCGGAGTACAGACCCCGGGGTTCAGACCACTGGTTTAGGTGAATACTGTCATTTCAAATAGTTCGAATAAAAATTATCTACCAAATGTAATGAAGCAGCAAGCAGCGTTTTCTGGGGTTAGAAAAATTTTTTAATCGGGTATACCTAGGACTTAAAAATACCGAAAAAAAAAGGATTAAAATGAGTTATTTATGTTGGTCAACCGAAACGATTATTTTCAGCCATACGACTTTTGCAACGATTCGAAAAATCACTTTTTTTTTCTCTAAATAAACGATAAATTAAATTTTTCCTGGGATCAGGGTAAGGACAATTAGTATTAAATTTAACTATATACAAAAAATTAAAATAACTTTTTATTTATAAAGGAGGCATGGGGGAGGAATGAAGCACTCCATAAATTATATATTTATATTTAAAATAAATAAGGCACCCTTAAACACCCCCTTTTGGTAAAGAAGCGATCTATATTTAACTTACAATCTTCTATTTTATGATTGCCTTAGTTAATTTTAAAACTATATTTTTAATATAAGAAATAAAATTTTTTTATAAATAATTATATTTTTTTTAACCAAAAACACCCGTTACCTCTTTTTAATATTTTAACCCACCTCCGAAAAACTTCTACGGGTAGTTAAATTAAAAAATAAAAATTTAATACATTACGCTATCTAGCGAATAGATTTATTGTATTCTTTTTAATACAAATTCTATTATAAAAAAAAGTAGCATAATTGTGCTTATTAAAATGGAATTTTGTATTTTTTTTTTTATTCTTTAAAATCGTAATAATTAATTATACAAAGTCAGCGAATAAAACAAAATACTATTTATATATTATACGTAAATTTTAATAGCTGAGACTAAACGCGTGTTATGCACTAAAACTGCAATTTATTTTTGTAGGTGTTAATATATAAACTTTGCATATTTTAATAACCTTTGAAATAATAAAAGATTTCAAATAAATTTTTTACTTTTTTCTATACCTGCCTTCCATGAAAATAACATGGTGGTGGCAGATAATTATTACGCTACAAATTGAAATATGTATAAAAAAAATAATAAATTTTAGACATGATTTTAGATAATGGAACATGGTGTGAAACTAGAAGAAAGAGGATTATGGAAAATGATGTTAATTTAATTCGAAAAACACGTAAGAGATGATTAAAATGTAAAATTAAAAATAAATATAATAAAATATTTAAAATATGAAAAATATGAAAAAACCTGGGATAATAATAATAAAACAAAATCCATAGATGAATTAGAAAATTATTTAACATACCATGAGAGTAAAGATGCTTTGAGTTTAACAGTTAATTTACCAGATGACTTATATTTGCTTATGGACACTATGTTACCGATATATGGAGCTTCAAGTTATGAAGAAGCTATATCTGTATTAAAATATTTTTGTGATTATAAAGAGGTAAAAGAGATAAATGGAAAAACTGGATCATATAATATATGTTATCCTGATAAATATTCTCTTCTCTTCTCTTCTCTTCTCTTCTCTTCTCTTCTCTTCTCTTCTCTTCTCTTCTCTTCTCTTCTCTTCTCTTCTCTTCTCTTCTCTTCTCTTCTCTTCTCTTCTCTTCTCTTCTCTTCTCTTCTCTTCTCTTCTCTTCTCGTTAAAAGTCAAAATAAAAACTTGAATAAAATTGAATTATGTAAATTAATACCAAATGTTAAAGAAGAAATAAATTCTTATAAATTAAAAGAAATAAATCATATGATAATAATTGATGAAATAATAGTGATTAAAAACAATAATGAAATAAAAATTAGAGAAAATAATAAAATAAAAAATTTTATAATTAATAAAAAATTTTAAAAAAATTTGGAAATAAAGAAAATTAAAACTAATTTTAAGGTGATTAAATATCGTGATGTTGAAAAAGAGATTAAGAGTACGATATGGAGATCGTATGTTGAAAATGGAAGGAGAAAGAGAAATTTTTTTATAAAGAACAAGTTGAAGAGAAATTATGATATAAAAAAATTGTTTAAATTGAAAAATAAAGGAGTAAAATTTTAAAAAAATAATAATTAAACAATAAAAAAAAAAAATTTACTATATAAAAAGAGACAATTCCAAATATTCTATTATTCTATATTCCAAATTATGATTCTTATTCTTATTAATGATTCTGATAAATTATTTATTCCATTATCATTTCAATTATTCCAAAATGATTTTATTTGAGATATATTGATCATAATATATATTTACAAACATTGATATAT